TTTTTCGCTTGTCACAATGGAAAGTACCTTAAAAAAAAAAAAAATTAATCAGTGATTATGTATCAAATTTAACGTGCGCCACGTTTAATTATGTCCGATCCGAAAGACTCTTCCGCGCGATCAGAACATATTCGAGACGTCTTGGAATACATACATACTTTAGATACTACGCGTTACGTTTTTGTATTTACGAAGAAAAATCTACGAGATGGGAGACGGACTTGCTTTTCCCTCTTTTCTACTACTTTGTATATTACCAAATAATCGTTAATTAGAGAAATTATTATGACTAGCGTTTCGTTATTTTAATCAACAAGATTTTATTAAGCGAAATATATATAACGACGGTAAACACGATCGTTTGCCGTCGTTATCGTAACGATGCGGCCTGATTTACATTATTTCCGTTGTTGCTTTATGATATACTATTTAATTTGCGTATATTATTTGTCAGCGAGTGAGAGATCGACGTTTATGACTGATTCTTCAATCGCTTCATTTTCCTCCGCCCATTAAAAGGACTTTAATACTTGATTTATGTCGTTATATGTAATATTCTTAAATATTATATGTAACGTAAATATTTTTCGTAGTTTGAATAACCAATATTTATTAGGCTGATTACAGACCACAGAATAACATCGATACAATATTAAATTTAATAAACGTGATCTCTCGCAAGTCTCTTTTTCAAGATCTGTAAATCAAGTGGCATCGTTCCTGAATATCTCTGTCATTATACGATAAAGTATAATAAACCTCGCAAATCTGTCGACGTTGGAAAGCAATCGATTGGTTCCTTAGAAGCCAGAGAGCCAAGAGATTGCGCCAAGAGAAGTACAAATTATAAAAAAAGAGAGAAAAGAGAAGAGAAAAAAATGATAACTGCGAAAAAAATCAATCATTCGAAGATGAGATAATGTGACCAATACCGAAAGAGGTGTAACATTTGACTTTAGTTCCATCGCTTTTCATTCATTATCTTTGATTATATTATTGCTTGTAACATTCATTCGAGATACCTTGAATACAAAAAAAAAAGTAATAAACCATGTTATCCGCTTGTTTCATCCCTTGTATAAAACCCTACCTGTGATATACTAATAAAGCAAATTGGACTTCGATACCAGCAAGTTTTATACGATAGTATATTCGATGAATAATTCAACGATTAATTTCATTTATCAATGAAATGTCAAACAATTTTTTGAAAAAAATGTATAAATTAAATGTATAAATCTTCTTCATAAGATTGAGAAGTTTTTTTGTTTAAAGTTTAAAATGCACGTTTGAGAACAAAAGAATTTATGCAATTAAAAATATTAATATATCAATAAGGTTAAACATATAAATTATTACATAAATAGATTACTTGAAACTGCAAAAGAAAAGAGTACGGAGAAGAATTTGTTGCTTTAGGGGACAGAAGTATGGGCGCAACACGCAGCAATTTTTATTTCATTGATTTTTATTGAAACACTCTTTAGGGTACACAAGCTCTATCCTAGGTAAGCATTAAAGTAGGTATAAAAAAAAAATGAACAACTGCTTATGGAATCACAAAGTGTGGATGTCTGCCCTTCTTACAATCAGTAAACGTATTTTAACGTGCATACACGAAGGCACAACGATCCTCGACCCTTACGCGCTGAGTATTTCGCCGCGAGAACGATGTTCGAAGTGATATCGCTGAGCCGATCTCGTGCAGTTACCCCGCGGATCCGTTCGCTTCGGTTGCAACCCCCTTCGCGTATGACGCGAGGGGAAGGGTGCGATCGAGGCGGTCAGATCGAGCGGTGGCGTTATTCGAAGGCGATCGCTCGCATGGAGATCCATTGACGTCCAATGCCCCCAGGGGAACTAGAAAGATAATTCTAGCCGCGCGGAAAACGCATGATATCGCTATTGCGAGCCACCCACCGCTGAAGGTTTCTTTTTCGGCGCTCGTCGTCATGGCAAAATTAAACACTCTCCGAGAACATCACATACGAAATAAGCGTATTCGCTCGGTACACGCTTATAACACACAGAGTTCTGTCGTAAAGGGGACCGAGTGCCTTCTATACAAATTCATTACGCGATATAATATCCATGATAATAGAATCTATACTTCGTATCGTAAATCTAAAAAAAAAAAAACTTATTGTACACTCGTATATAGCTAGTCCATTGTATATAACGAATGCATTCCGGTTATTTCCATTCAGCTCGTAGTTCTCTCACTTGAAGAAGGCCACTTGTTTTCTTTTCGAAGATGCTTCATTCTTACTGACAACTGAGAAAGATTATTTGTCGGTGCTCCTGGTTTAATTATTATATATGAACGTAATTACATTATCTCGGATAATTATCGTAATTACTGCGCTTCTTCCGCTATCGAATGGAGAATAACATCGTGTCTGTAAGGCCAACCGGTACAACGGCTATCCTCATATACTCAATTATAACTCACTTATTCTATTGTTTGCTTAACATGTATTAAATAATCACAAAAATGAGACCAAGGTCCAAACACGTCCTTTGGTCGGGACCATCATCCAAGAGGCGGTCTCGCACCTGACTTTCGATGAAAGCTTGTCCATTATTGTTTATGCGCATTGCAACTGCACACAAGCGGTGTTCGCTAATGGCATCTTTAACATTGAGATGAAAGTAAGTGCAATACGTAATTTTTTACGTGTTGCGGTTAAGATTTCATAAAGTTAAATATTAGGTAATAATGGTAATAATGGTAATATTAGATAATAATGGTAATTTGCAATCTCAGAATGCAACATGAGAATTGAATTTGATTTTAATAAGACTTTAAAAAATTCGATATATACGAAATAAAGAACGATTGAGCGTCTCAGATTTTCAAGCGCAGTTCTGTTAATCATATTATTCAACAATTCTGAAGAAAAGTACAAGATTAATTTTTTCAATTATTCAATTTGTGAAATTGGATATTTGTTATTTATTTTCTGTTGACTAAAGATTGCCATCAGATTTCTCTTTATTATCGAAGCGACGTACAAAGCGTGGGTAAAACTTATTTACCTGATCGTAATGTTGAAGTGCCGATGTACAGATTACGAGCATTCAGTTTATTCTCTTGAATTCAAGTTAGATATACGATCACAAGTGCAGGTAGGCGGTATTATGATACTTTCATAACTTCTACCGGATTTCGGCGACGTTCGGCGCTAAATGACGTTGATCATCCGCCATTCAGTTCGACGACGCGAAAGTAAAAGGATAGCGATAAAAACTGTGATAAAGTGACACTTTGATAATGGGAATATGAAGTAACTTATGCTTAAAACACCTTAAAGTAGAGTAAAGTAGAGTATAAAGTATGACTTAAGTACAACCATAAAAACTTGGTCATTATTATGGCATTCGTATCCTTAACTACGCGGCTCGCCAGACCGCATCCCCTCTGACAGCGCGTCTCTCTTTATAAAAAGAATCTACTATTCGTGTACGAGGCGATGTCGTGATTTATGCGTACGCAAGTCGTGCAGCCTTTCAGACAATGCGCGATTGTAGCATGTAGATTCAACCATCTTTGCGACTTTCCGCTTTCTATTCTCGATCGATGGCAAAGAGTAACGAAAATATAGTTTTGTGACAAATTAAGGCTTCTCTATCTTTCGTTTTGCACGGTACACGCATTAGAGATTAAAAAAATATCGGCATCACTGTTGACATTACAATATTGTTGCATCGTTGCAATGTGTGTTGTATAGCCTGTATAATATTTATCAAATAATTTTATTCCTACTTTGTTTCGGAATTCATCTCGTTCGAGATAATGATTTTTTTTTTATATAACTGATTTTAAAGAAATCCTTCCCTCTTCGCACGTAATGAAACGAAAAGGAAATAGTTAACGTATATAAAATACAATATTAAGCGATTATATTTTTCTCATAATTTAATTTTAATCACGCTAAATATTGACTTCCAATTTTCTCGAAAATATTTATGCAATTGTTTTATATATTTCTGACTTTTTTTAAGTATTCTAAAGGGAATTTATATAGAATTTTATATAAATTATGCGTGTTGTACCGGAAGATCAACCATTGTTACTTGGAATCTTACTCAAAGTATCCACCTCCATTTCGCTTCGTCGCGTCTCGATTCGGATCTCGATACTCTTTATAATACGGCGTCGCTTTTCCCTACGAGAATTCTAGTAATTCATTTCTCTTTTCGTGACCTGAACATATCCTCTTCCGCTGCGTCGCTATTTTTGATTATTCCACTTATCGTTAATCGACGATCACAGGAAGTACGCGGCGTTGATCAGGCTTTTGGGTCTTTCATATTGTGTACATGTGTGTGTGTGTGTGTGTGTGTGTGTGTGTGTGTGTGTGTGTGTGTGTGTGTGTGTGTGTGTGTGTGTGTGTGTGTGTGTGTGTGTGTGTGTGTGTGTGTGTGTGTGTGTGTGTGTCGTCGTACGTACGTACGTGTCACATGCACATGCAATCGTGTGTCGGACGACGAGTTTTGAATGGCTTCGCAGCTGCGATATATTAATGCTGAAAGAATGGCGGAATCGCTGACAGAAATACATCCCGTCCATCTATTCTTCTTCCTTGAGCTCCTCTTGCGAATTTTGATTTGTTGAACGAACGACACCGGAGATCCACGGCTCTTCATCTGAACCGCTCTTTGCCTTCTTCAACCCTTCGTCGGTCGAATCTGCAAGCAGAATTAACGACCATACGTTATGTACGCAAAATATTAATTAACATAAATATTAAAGAGAATTGAAAAACTCAAAGTAACAGAGAGTTCTACATTCACAGTTCAAGATTCACTTTAAATATGAAGTCGTATTTAAATATTATGGATTTAATTTTTGCTCTGAACTCATCACGTAATAAATCAACAAGCTGATATCATTAAAGTTAAAGCAATTTTTTAATATTTTTTAAAAAGGAAATAGCGATTTAATTTTATAGTCGAAATATGATTATATAATAAAACAATAAACCTTTTTATATTAAAAATTAGAAGACAAATTTTTAGATATTTAGAGATTTTAATGCAAGACATGTTTTGGCGCATAAGACGTCGCTGGAAATTCCATGTGACACTTTACGGACTGCTTCCTTTTCAATCTTAACCGCTAATGAACAGTTATCGCACTGGAAGTAATAAAACGCGATATATGCGGGATGTTACTCGATGAATAAATGGAAATTATACTTCGGTATTTATGACATCGTTAATTGAAAGTGTCGCGCTTCGACGATAACTTAGGAATATTTATAATCATTACTTCAATTTTGCCTGAAAAGCGTATCAAATAAAATTTTTAAAAACAGAATTTTATATTCTGAAAGATTTATAGATGGATCAATAATCACATTAATCAGAGATCAATGAGGACCACATTAGAGAAAAAGCGAAATAACGATTTAAATGAAATATATCTTTTAAAACATAAAAGTAGCAATAAGAATATATGTCTTTCACATGTGCATCTTTCATATTTTATTTTATATCTGTATTTTTTATTAGTTAAATTTTGTTTAATATAATTAATTAATCTTTACTCATTAATACTAAAATGCATTGTTATATTCCAACTAAATTGCTGTAATTTGATTTGCAAGATATCGGAATTCTTAAAGAGAATTAAACATGTAAAATATTGTTTACTTAATTTTTGTCTCTTCTTGAAAGAATAAAATTTTTCTTTGTATCGTTCGGATATTAAGAAAATAAAATTCGATTTCAATTTTTTTTTAAATATTTAGACAGACTTTCAAAATTCTAGTAACAGCTATCTTAAAAAATTTTAAATTTTAAATTTAATATGAGTATTACACAATCTATTGCGCGTACCTTCATAACAGAAAGGAAGAAAGAGCGTTTATATTTCTAGAGCATCAATTTTTTTATAATTGAGACGCAGCGAGATAACTTAATTCCATATCGCTCATGCGCGATTAACCATTGACCGGCAATTAAGCCGGTTCTGGGAAAATGCGCTGGACGTATTACGAAGCAAATTTGGCTCAGCGCAGCAATTACACGCTCCCCGATAAAATTAGCGGCCTAATTGGGAAAGTAGCGTGATCGCTCACTGTTAAACAACCGGCGAGGTCGAGGGTATTCTATGTTTAGGCCTCGACCGGATACCCCGACGCGTACCAATAATTTGACGTAATTTAATAAACGCGACCCTGCTCTCTCTCGTGTACGCGCGCGGGATCGTGCGACTGTTATTACCGACAGTTTGATCGTATCTCAGTAGTGCGTAATGATGATGCACCTAGTCACTGGCATATAGTAGCAGCCCGATCATCGGTCATGCAAATTGGCGCTGCAGAATGCAGCGGATCTCCTTATCCGATTCCCTCGTCTGATGCGCCGCATCGCATACCGGTTTTAGAAAACACTGTGTCGACATTAAGCCCGCGATCGTTATATTTGCCCATAATTTATTGTACTTATTATTAAGTTACTTCTTTGATTTCCCTCGCTGTTAAGTCTACAATGTTCGAAGGGAAAGGGAGAATCTTAATATCCAAGGCAAAGTCGGCACGATTGAGTATTTAATTATATGCAGATTGAATATTTGTCCTAAGGATCGTTTGAAGTGTTGCTTAATGGCGACATAACACGGCAATTTTTGATATATAATTACAAGAAACCAATGTAAAGAGAAATAGCGGGAGACATCAAAGAAACATCTCTATGTCCGAGCGATCTCCAATCCCAAAATTTACGTTTTTATCTTAACGTTTAATGTGTTGTTTATCGTGCTTTCTAACTAGGTCAATGTTATAACACGCGAGTGAGCACCATTTCAAATGTCCATTACCTTCTCGGTCTCTTCGATGCGTATAAAATGAGGGGGAGGGGGGGGGGCCATAAATTCCTCCGAAACATCGAGACGTCCGGAATCGCAAGATATGATAATCACGGTCGCCTTTACAGGCACACAAGCAATTTCTCGGCGTGGCGTGCACGAAGAAAAAAAAAATAATCTTCCAGTTAGTGGGTTAACGTCCTCGGGGCCCAACGGGGCCGCACCAGGCGAACATTAAACAGCAGGACGACGAAATCGGCACGCTCTTTCATTACGGAATGGATTTCGTTCAATGTTACCGTAGTATTTCAAGCACCACCTTAAATCTTCGGGACTTAATAATCAGTCTGAAGGCTCGTAATTCTCCGACCGCGGGCGGAAGAGGCCAAGACCGGCGACGATCGCGGCGTGTCGAAAATAAAAGGATGGAAATGTACAACGCGAAAGGATACATCATTTCTGAAAAATATAATAATTGAAAATAAGAAGAAGAATATCAGAAATTATCCCCTTTCCGCGCTAAATTCATAAATTAATTCCTCTACTTACTCAAGTTAGTAAATAAGCATATGACATATCTCTATAAGCCGTAATAAGATTCAAACAAAGTTTTAACGCCGGCATACGACGTTTCCCCTGAGAGTCCACGATAAAATCAGACGTGATTTATATTTAAATTTCCTTTTTCGAAAAAATTATTAATAATCTCTGTCCCCTGGGAACGTTCCTAGTTATAAGTTGCAAGGGAATAACTCAGTGGCGGCAGCTCGGATGAGGGTACGGGCAGGCAACTCCGACGCGTCAGAAAAAGCACGACGAGAGGTACGCAGGCAGGCCTGTGTTTCGAGGCTGACTTTCGTCTCGGCCGGCAATTAAGCATGCCGATAAATCCAACGTGCGCGAGAGCGAGTGAAAACCGAGCGAGAGAGCCAGCCCGCCCCGTGTCGTGTGCAACGAGGGAGCGAGCGCACGAGCGAACGCGCGAGCGTTGTTTATCACTCCCCTCGCCAGGTTGCAATTACGCACGTCGCCGTAAAAGATTTTGCGCGTACGGTAAAAAAGGGGCAGGGGTGAAGGGGAGGGGAAGGGGGGGAGAGGGACTTTTCGCCAAGGTCCACCTCGACGGCGGTGGCCATTGATTTAATTCGACTTAATTTATAATTGCTCTCGCGGAACTCGTTTGCGAGAGCACAGGCGAGAGCATCCCTTTGTTGTTCTCTCGGCGCGATCGCACAGACGGCATTTCGTGAATTTTTCTCGACGGGGCGAAACACGTCGAGGGATCCGGCGACCGTGCCGGTCGCCCGCGGTATCTGCGCCCGGCATCGGTTTAAGCAGAAGATCCTGTTGCGAGAGCGATGCGAGAGATTCGTACTGTCATCGCTACCAATAAAAGACAATAAAGTCGCCGTGTTTTACGTTCGAGCCGTTCTGCATACATGCATTTTAATTACGAGCGTGGAATTTACACGCTGCTTAATTTTTACGCGGCGAATGAAAGACGACCGTGTATCCCTCGATCTTTCAAAACTGTTTTGATCGTTAAAAAAGGATTTCCTTATCTTGCATCTCGAGGCTTCGGAAAGCGCGTAACAAATAGTTTTCGTCTTATTAAAATGTGATACAGGGTACAGGAAAATACCAACGTAAGAATAGTTTCAAAACATAGATTTTTATTATCACGTTCGAGATAACTCGCGAGAGAATCCAGCTGTCGCATGCCTCGCGGCGAGCCCAGATTTTTGCAGAATGACAATGATTAATTACTCTGAAACGTTTTTTTTTTATAGACAATTATAAAGGTTATTCAGTGAAAGCGCGCAATAATTAATATCGATCGATTATCCGCGCTACGCGTTAAAATCCACGCTGAGGTCGCGCAATTGGGATCACGATGATGCAAGCGGAGCGTGCAACTCCACCGACATTGCCGGCGCATAGAACTTTCGTTCGCCGATCTTCTAGAGCGAGACGAATCCCACGTAGGAAGATAAATAATTAATAATAAGAATTTCCATCTTTATCCGTGTTCTCTTCTTCTTTTGCCAATCAAATTAGAGGAGCGGAGGATGTGAGGCGCTCCGATTCAATTTAATTCAATATCCAGTTTCTATTCATCAAGGCCGTACATACATTTTATTAAATCACTCGTCCCACTTACATTCCCAACAAAGATGATCAAAAATGATTATCCGCGAGTTGTGCGAAGTCATCATTTACATCCGGCTGGAAGTACGAGAAGCGAGCAACTTTACGCAAAATTGTCGTACGGAGATCTCCACGTAATCCCCGTTGCGGATATGTCGTCTATTTGCATCGACAACGTTGCGGCGAAGGTCGCAGTTAATCGACCGACGGCGGTTATGCACTCGCGGCCGGCGCGCACCGCCGCAGCAGACGGGAAAGCCAACGACTGCAATAATTGCGGCCTACCATTTCCGTTTCGGACGAAAGCTCTCCGAGGAGGAGCGCGTACCTCGCCACGCTCGACTTGCGAGCGAGCGTGTCCGGAGCTTGGAAACCCAGTGAACTCGTTGCGCACGGCGATTCGAGTCCAATCACGTTTTATAAGAGAACACAGACACACACACACACACACACACACACACACACACACACACGCGACGGGATCGTTTGCATTCAGAATCCAATTTTAGAGAGAAAAATAAAACGACGCGACGCGCCGTCAGACAACGCCGTAATTAAAGCGCCAATACTTGCGCCACGTACTTCACGAAATAATCCAGCAGAAAGAACTTTTAACAAAAGTTAAACGCAAAATTACTTGTCTTTAATTCGGAATTACGAAGCGAAATTAAAAATTCTGATAATTCTATCATCTGGTAATTCTATAATCAATATAGCATTATATTAAATT